CTGGTTCCCCTCCCCATACACATGCGGAAGCACACACAGTCACACACATGCACTATGAACTACATAGATATATATCTTTAATGATGCTTAACACAATTGTACTTTAAATTATTATTATAATGAAGTGATTATATAATGCTGTTATTAAATAATTATTGGTGTAATTATTTGTTTAACATTGCCACACTATAAACTCCATGGACCAGGTCTGTTTTACTTATCTCTGTGTTCTTAGAGCTGGGTACAATGGGTGGCACACTGAGAACACGCAACAGTTTTATTCACTTAATGTACCTACTGTACATACATCTAATCTTCACCATGACTTTGCAAAGCAAGTGTTAATTATACTCAGTTTTTGATGAGAATCCTGAGAGGACTTGACAAGGTCACACTGCTAAAATAAGGACATTTAAACTCAAGGCAGGCAATACTTCTTGAACTCCAATACACCCAGTGGTCTTGCCCTTGGCATTCTCCATGACCCTGGGCTTTAAAGCCCAAACTGAGAAGACTGTTCGATGGCCCACCCTTCCCCCTTCTGTACTCACCACTTCCCCAACCCACCATCTCAAGCATCTCCTACCATCAAACCAGTTCTTAGAACACATTCATACTCAGGTGCAAGTAGTGGACAACCTAGATTTCCCATGGGGAAATGACATACTTACAAGAGATCAAAAGTTTGAGCTTACAGCCCCAAACCTTAGTAGTGGAATTTTAGGCATGAGCTAATCACGAAAGGACAAATCAGGCGTCTGCTGCCTAGATTGCTGGCCAGAGGCCAAGTCTGCTTCTGCTGGTTGCCTCTCCTTCTCTGCACCGCCAGCTTCCAGGCTTTAACCCAGGGACCCCCTGCCACTCTTGCCAGGGTATCAGACAACCTGGAGTGCAGTAGGAAGAGCATTGGCCCAGGTCAGGAGGCCTCTGTCCTGGTGACAGCTCTGCCCCGGTGTGCCATCCCTTGTACTTTCTGGGCCTTAGTTTCCCTTTCTCCCAGATAAGAGGGTTGGATAATCTTTCAGATTCCTTCCAGTTCTGGCATCTGCCACTGACAGATGGGGCCATCCTGTCCTTAGTAGTAGGAGCTCACACTTGCCGAGCACTTACTGCATTAGGGCACTGTTGTAAGAGCTCCACATTGATTATTCACTGGATGATGACACTCACACTGTGAAGCATTGTCCCCATTTTCCAATTGAAGAAACAGGCCTACAAGAGGTTAATTCACTTGCTCAAGGTCATATTCCAGTGTGGCATAAAATATTTTCTCCAAACTTAGTGGTGTCAAACAACAACCACTTATTCTGTGTGTCGGACATTCGGGAAAGGCTCAGCTGAGCAGTTCTTGCTTGAGTGTCTCTCATGCATTTGCCATCGGATGTCAGCTGGGCCCACATCAAAGTTGGACACCCAAGATCACTCATTCGCACGCCTAGGAGTTGATGCTGGCTGTGGCTGATTGCTCAGCTGGGCTTCCTGGTGTCTCCTGCACAGCTGTTTCAGTGTGGTCAGGATTCTTACGCAGAGCTGGCTTCCCCTAGAGTGCGGGACCTCAGGGAGCCAGGCAGAAGATCCAGGAAACTTTCTAATCTACCTTCAGAAGTTATACACAACACTTGTTCTGCATTCTGCTGGTTACAAGCCAGTTAGTAAGGTTGACCCAAATTTAAGGAGCGAGGACATAGGTCCTATTTCTCAAGGGGAAGACAAAGAATGTGTACATATGTTTTAAAATCAGCACAGTGACTCCAGATGATAAGTGGTGTGGGTAAAATTGCAATATTTCCAGAATCTCTCACCTGGCCTTAGTCCATCTCCAGATCCCTGACTTCCCCATTGTCCTGGCCCCTCCTCTAAGGCCTCTGAGGTGCTGCTCTCCCTCTGGCTTGTCTTCCTTCTGCCCTGGTCTTAGAAGGCCAGGCAGAGCAGTGGACAGGGCACTCACGCACTTTGGAGCTAGGCTGCTCAGGTTCCAATCCTATTCCCCACTCACTGTGACCTTGAGAAAGTCACTTCCTCTCTGTAAGCCTCAGTTCTTCATCTATAAAGAGAGGGAGGAGGTATTCTTTCAATCAACAAGTATTTACTGAGTACCTGAGAGACAATAAGCGAATAAGCAAGAAAAAATACATATAATATTTATATATGATATGGATGATATATCAGAAAGTAATAAAGCCTATTGAGAAAAATAAAGCAGGAAGATGTGGCATCAGGGGGCAGGGGTGGAGAGGGAAGATCTTACTGAGAAGATGTTTGAACAGGGACCTGTGAGAGCGAGCCACACAGCTCTCTGGAGGGAAAAGTGTTTCAGCCCGAGGGAACAGGAAGTTCAGGGCAGTGGGTCTGGGGCTGAGAGGTTTGGTAAGAGGCAGGACAGAGAGGCAGCAGAGCCAAAGGTGTCAGAACCTTGCAGGACTTGGACTGTCACCTCTGAGGGAGATGGGAGCCAGAGGAGAGTTTGGGGCAGAGGAGTGGCAGCCTCTGGCATGAGTTTTCACAAGATCTCTGGGTGAAGTTGAGCTAGCTGTAGGGACCAAGGGCAGGGGCATGGAGACTAGAGAGGAAACTGCTGCGAGACTCCTGGTAACAGATGACAGGGAGCTTGGCATGGGTGGGATCGGGGGAGGTGGGAGACTTTGGATACGTTTTTGGGACATAGAATTGATAGGAATTGCTGATGAATTAAATGTGGTGTGTGAAAGAAAGAGAAGAGCCAAAGATGACTCCAAGATTTATGGCCTAAACAGTGGAAAAAATGGAGCTGCCAGTTACCACGATGTGACCAAGACATGGGCTTTTCACCACCACACCGGGCTGCTTTCAAGGTCTAGGCCTGGCACCTGGGAAGGGAGAGGGATCAGTAGCACCCGCCTGTGCCAGTCACTGTGCTAGCTGTTTTACATACTGGGGTAGGCAGAATGGCAAGAATGACCCCAAAGGTCCTCCCCCTGGTATAAGCCCCTCCTGTTTGAGTGTGGCTGGAAGCTGTGGCAATGAGGAGACCCCTCTACTACGATTATATCCCTTATACCACAAAGGGAGATTATCCGGGTGGACTTAATCCAATCGCAGAGCACTTGAAAAGCAGAGTTTTCTCAGGCTAGTACGCAGAAGGGGAATTAGATGCAGAGGATGAGAAGCGTTTGGCATCCACATGCCGCCCTTGAGGACAGAGGAGACCATGAGCAAAGAGGGACCAGACAGCTGTCTCCAGGAGCTGAGAGCAAATCCTGGCCGATGGCCATCAGGGAACAGGGGCCTCAGTCCTTGAGCCACAGGAAACCAAACACCACCAACAACCTGAAGGAGTCTGGCAGCAGATTCTTCTACAGAGCCTCCAGGTAAGAGTCCAGTCTGGCTGATATCTTGTAAAGTCCTAAGCAAAGAACCCTCTAGCCGGCTCAGACTTCCAACCTACAGAATTTTAAACCAATAAATGGGTGTTGTGTTTAAGCCTCTTAGTTAATTATGCAGCAATAGCAAACTAACACACGTTATCTGACTTGATCCTCACAAACATCCAAAACATAGGGTCCCATCTTCATGGTAGAGATGAGGGAACAGGTACATGAGGTAAAGGGCTTTGCCTTACACCACCACAGAAGGACAGTGCCCCAGTTGGGACTCAAACTCTGGGATCTTGCCATCTCACCAGGCTGCTTCGTAAGGAGGGTGTGGGAGCAGCTGGCCGAGGTTAGATGTCTAAGGATTGACTGGATGGGGACTTTAGGTGTCCTGTGTTAGGGAACGGAGTTCAGGTTTCTGATTGTGATTGGGTTCATGGGTGGGGTGGGGGTGCTCCGAGTGTCTGAGTCTGTGTGTGTGTAGTCTGAGGACTGTGGGTCCCCGGAGGTGTATATGTGAGAGTGTGAGACTGGCAGAGTGTGTCTTATTGGGTCTGTGTGTGAGTCTGAGGGGTCTGTGTATAGGGTACCCATCACTGGGAGTGCCTGAGTTTGTATGCCTGTGTCTCAGTGTGAGTATGTGTGCCCACTGAAGTGTGTTTGAGTGTATCTCTGGGTCTGTGTGTGAGTCTGACAGTGTTTGCCCATCTTTATGAGTATGTGTTAATCAGTGCTGTGGGTGGGGGGTCAATGACAGGGGGGCCCTAAGTGTCTCTGTGTGCAGGTCTGAGAGTGTGTCATCTGCGTGTGTGTTGCGTGTGTGTGTGAATAGCGTGTGTGCATGAGTGTGCATGCCGGCCTGAACTTCTCCATGGGTTTGTGTGGGTCTTCCTGTGTGGCCAGTGGTGTCTGTGCTTGTCAGTTGAGTGTGTCTGCTGGCCTCAGGATGAGTCTGTGTGTGGTTGTGGGTATGTCTACCTGCGGGGCCCATGGCTGTCTGGGGTCTGTCTGAGGGTGTCTGTGGGTGAACCTCTCCGGGTGCGTTGTGACCCTGGAGGTGTCTGCGGTCTATCTTGCCTCTGTGCGGGTGCCTGTTGGAGCCTCTCTGTGGGTCCCTGCGGGAATCCGAGGGTCTCTGCGTGGCAGGCTGAGCGCTGAGGGGCGTGCGTTCTCACCGTGCCCCTTCTGAGCGGGTCTGGGTCCCTGGCGGAGGCCTGTCTCGGTCTGTGACTGGGCGCCCGCCCCCGAGTCTGAGGCTGAGGACGGAGGCTGGGGCGGAGCGGGGGCAAGGCCCTGGCCCAGGGCGCGGAGAGCCGGCCGCCGGCTCCTCCCCGGGGCGCGCACGCCTGCCGGGCGCGGGGCGCCGAGGAGGGGCCCCGCGCCCGGGCCCCGCACCCCGCCCGCGTCCTCCCGGCTCCCAGGCCCCGGCGCGCGGCGCCCCCTCCCCCGGGCGGCGCCGATTGGCTGCGGCGGCGCCTCCGAGCCCGCCCAGCGCGGCCGGCGGGGGGCGCCGCCGTCCGGAGCGCGCCGCGCCGCCGCCACTGCCGCCGCCAGCTCCTCCGCCGCCGGGAGCATCGCGCGTCGCCAGCTCCCGGCCCGCCCGCCCGCCTTCCGCACGCCGGCCCCGCCGCGCCCGCCAGCCCCGCCGCGGAGCCCCGGCCTGGCTCCGGGCCGCCGCCACCACGCCGCGCGCCGTACTCCGCGTCAAGAATGGGGCGGCCAAGCTGCCCAAGCCGCCCGCCGCCGCCGCCGCGGCCGAGGCGCCCGGCGCCGGCGCGGGCATGGAGCGCTCGCAGAGCCGCCTCAGCCTGTCCGCCTCCTTCGAGGCGCTCGCCATCTACTTCCCGTGCATGAACTCCTTCGACGACGAGGACGCAGGTAAGCGCGCGGCCCGCACCCGGTCCCGGGGGCTGTCCCGAGAGCCAGAGCCCGAGGACCCCTCCCCGGGCCGGCGCGCTCCTAGAGGTGGCCGCTCTCCTTCCCATTACCAGCCTGCTCGGGGATATGCCCAGGGGTCTCCAGGACGTGGTGTCTTCTGGCCTCCCGCCACCCGCCAGGGACCCATAGATCATCTGCATTCACCCCTTTCCCGCAGGTGGGCCCTTTGGGTCGCCAGGACCTAGCTCTCCGTACTCACCTGCGCCTACCGCAATTCCTCGGTTTGGTCCCCAGATCCGACCCCCTACTCTATCTGAGTCTCCTGTACTTGCCCTCTCTCAAACCTGGGGCTTTGGCTGCTTCACCCCGGGGGCGCCGACCCGCCCCCCGCCTTTGGAGGCGGCGCGCAGGCCCTACCGCTCCATCTTTGTCTTGGCTGCATCGAGGCTTCCTGCCCAAGACCCCCGCCCAGCGCCCAGGCTTTGAGCGTCCCCATAGGTCTCTTGACCCCTTCCTTCAGAGGTGAGGGCATCAGACTCCTGATTCTTATCAGATTGGGGCGGACTGCCAGGGGACCAGCCCGTGATGGCCTTTCCTCCCCTTTCCTCCCTGCTTATCTCAGAGGGAGGTGTAGGGCGGCGCCAACTCCACACCTGCATGCCCTCAGGAGCGTGCCCGGATCTCGGTGCTCCTGTCCCCCGAGTAACCCTCCTAGGTGGGCTGAACCTGGCCACCATCCAGCAACCCAAAACTCCCGCTCCCAGGCCAGCTGGCAACTTCAGCTGGAGTCCAAGGGGCAGAGAAATGTAGGGAACCTGCTCTTTGGGGGTCTGGGACCAGGCAGAGGGAACATGAGGGCTCCAGATCTGGTTCTGTGGTAGGGAAGAGAATACATCAAAAGGTGGGGTGGCTGGAGGGCGTGGGTGAGAGTTCCCCAAAAGGGCACCACACTGGAAGTCGGAATCCAGTTCCAGTCTTGCTCCTGCACTTACTAGCTGTGACCTTGGGCTAGTCGTGCCACCCTTTGCCTCTATATCTTCATCTGTAAAATGGGATGACAGTGCCTCAGGCACAAGGCTGCAGTGAAAAGTGTTTTGTAAGCTGAAAATCTGACAGTATTTGAATTCAGTGAGGGGACAAAAGGGAGAAGGGTGTATGTGATGGGGAGGAGCAGAATGGTTGCATGGACACTTTTGAGAACCTGATGAGAATGTGGACTCTCTCCCAAAGATACATGTATGCACCATCTACAAAAGATTCCCAGTTTTAGGAAGTTCGTGGGTCCTATTTATGACTCCCAGCCTTGTGGGGACCCTTGTCTGGTCAACCAGTTATCCAATAAGCAATGGGATGGAGTGGTGGGTGATAGGTACTCATGTCTTCTTGCTGGTGCAGGAGGCACGTGGGGAAATGCGGAGAAGGTTCTCCGGAAGAATTTGTTGGCCAAGAGAACGAATGGGGGTATGTAAGGCAGACCTCTGATAGACCTGTCTTTGCTGCTGGAGATGAGGGTGGGGTAAAGATGGTTACTACAGAGCCATTTTACAGAATCACTGTTTTACAGAAAAAATAACTGAGGCACAGAGGCTTAAATTCCACTTGATGTTGCTGAGGAAGGTTGTATTATTCTGGACAGGACAAGGAGGAGGAATGGAGGGGCTGTAACACAGTGACCTCCCTTGGAGCAAAATCAGAGAGAGGAAATTAGGCTAGCAAGGGGACTCGGGGGAGGAGCCCACCAGCCTAGGTGAGCTGGCTCCCCTAGCCCTCCGTTGATGCTTGGAGACTCTCCTGAAGTTCAACAGCACTTGGGTCTCAAGAACCAGGCTGGGTAGGAGCACGGGTTTGTAGCAGCATCAGTGGCAGGGAGAGTTATATTGTTCTCCAGATTCACCCTCCATGTCATGGGTCAGATTCCTTGGTCATTAGTGCTGGTTTCTGGCAACTTGCTCTGAGAGATAACTTCATTATAGATTTTTTAAAGGCCTACCTGATGTTTTTTCCAGGAAGTGTCTTCAAATTATTAAGCTTTTCCCTTGGAAGAGACCTAGAAATCATCTTGTTCAACTCCTTACCAGGTGGATGAGTGTGTGTGTGTGTGTGTGTGTGTGTGTGTGTGTGTGGTGTAACCCAAGGTCACCCAGCAAGTCAGGCACAGAGCCAAAAATCAGGTTTCCGGTTCTCTTTCCAATAAACCACTAGCCCTCTCTCTGAAAGTGAATTTTTAAAAAAGCTAAATCTCACTGGGTAGAAAATGGTTCCCAGGTGAGGAGGCCCCAGGGAGCACCTGACAGCCAGGAGTTTGATTTGGGCATCTTGTAGCTGACTGTCTGCTCATCTTAAGGGATGCTTTGAGTTTGGGAAGGGGAGGGAGAAAGTCAAGTTTCATTTCCGGAAGACTAATGAGTGTCTGATGAAAATCGGAAGTAGGGAACATTGTCTTGGTGCTCTTATTCTTCTCAAAGCCATTCATTTTCTCCTAAGAAAAACAAGCCTTTTGGATTTATTCTTATTGAACAGCATTGTGCTGAACTAATTTGTAAAAGCAGTTTGAATAATTTCTCAGATACTGGATGAAGACTGCTTCGGGTGGAAGGCTGTCAGAACTGGCTTTGCTCTACCTTCCTCTCCTCTGCGCCCTACCCTGGCCCATTAAATGCACAGCTGGCCCTGGTGGCTCAGAATTGTGTCCCTGACGGGCTTCTGGCTTATCTAGGTGCTTCCTCTTTGGAGCTGCTTCTAACTTCTGTCAAATGCATCTTTTCTGTCAACCAGATTGAGCCAGAGCCATCTTCAGGGCTTACATGCCACCCTTCAGCTGGTTTCCTAAGAAACCGTGTGAGGAGACTATTTCATTAGCCTTAACTGGGCCAGAGCACTTTCCTGCCTCGGGCTTGGGAGCCTTGGACATTTTGTGTGCAATGGAAGCCACTGCTACCTCCCAACCCTTTCCAGCCACCCTGGGGCTCAGGATGCTGGTCACCGTAGATTCCCAGAATTCCATAAGGAGCATCTTCCCTCATGTACTCTGAACTCATTTCTTAAGCTGCTTTTGCTGCCTTTTCATAAAGATGCTGAGGCTTTAGAGAGGGCATGGACTTGAGGGCATTTTTGTGTCTGTGTTCTCATGGCTCAACCTTGATAGCACTGGGTGTGTAATTGGGGAGGAGTTAGACACATGCGGAAGAAAGTGACAGCATGGACTGCTAGGGTCATAGGGTCAACATTTTTAAATGATTGCCATTTTGCAAGGCATCGTCCTAGGCACTTTAGATACATTATGTTAGTTCTGTCCTCATAGCAACCCTGTAAAATTAACATTTAATGTCCCCATTTTCCGATGAGAAAACTGAGGCACAGAGACATGACTCGTTCTAGGTCACTCAGCCAGGAAGTGAGGGAATCAGGATTTGAAATTTGAGCAGTCTGACCCAAGCACCTGTACTTTTGGTTATTACACTGTTTGCACTTCACAAAGGGCTTAGAACACTAAGTACCTGGCACCAGGTATGCTCTGTTATCCCTGTTAGCTATTTATCTTGTTACCAAGTGAGACTTGTTTTTGAGTATGACTGTAGAAAAATTATCTCTGGGTTTGGGAGGGGAAGCCCGAGTCTCAAAATGTTAGCTTTTATAATTTTTATAAGTGAATTTTATTGGATTGTTATAACTGTTAACACAGAGTTGGACTCTCCTTCTTAGATATGGTTTAAAGATGGGGATTTGGGGGACTTGACATGCATATGGAACAAGAGGGTGGGGAGCAGCCCAGCTCCCTGTTTTCCCTATTCTTTCTTAAGAGTTAATTTTCCTTAACATCCACAGTCCCAGCTCTGCCACTCTGCTTGGGGCACTGCTGGGAAGCAGGGGTGTCTCCAGTTTCTAGCAAATGCCAAAGGGGGTTGCTACATCAGGGTCTGGAATTAAGGATGGTGTCCCTGAGTGCCTGGCTTCAGCATCTAGTTCTCCCCCTCCTGGGAGAAGGGCGGAGAAGCTGGAACAGCCAGCTCCCATTTGCCCATAGGATGCTTCGATCCAGCACAGGGAGGAAGTTGCCATGGCAACAGGGGCCAGCTACCAGTCCTCCTAGCGGTTTGGGCTACATCTCTGGGCTAGAAAGCCCTTCATGGCACCACCCTCTTCCTCCCAGGCCATATCAGTGAGCAAGGTGACATGGTGGATGGGTCCCACAAACTAGGACCAAAGCCCTCTCCCCTTGTTTTTGGACAGAGTGGGAATGGAGGGGCTTTTCTGAGTTACTTCTCCTGGGTTGTGAAGTGCAGACGCTTATATCCTGCCAGACAGATAGCAGCAGGGGGAAACATAGTTCCAGTGCCCACACCTAGCCCAGGTACCTGGAATGACCGCACTGGAATTCGTCCTCCTTTCCCCCAGTTTACTCCATATGGAAGAGTTTTCTTTCTAGACCAAATGCTAACTTTTGTCCTTGAAATTTGACCTAAGCTTTTTCTGGGAAATGAAATGTCCTGTTGTCCCACGCCTTTCCCCTGAGATGGTGGGAATGGAATAAGTACCTCAGCCCTAGAGTGGGGCTGGGGCTGGGTGGACCAGGGGAATGGTGAGGTGAAGGCCTTAAAATATTCTTTGGTATCAGGGCCACTTGGGCACATGAGGTTAAGGTTTTTGAAGCCTCCATTTCCACCCTCATTGCTAGGGCGGGTCCCTTCCTGCCTCCCCTGTCCCCTCCTCCAGTTTACCACGAAGTGCTGTAATCTCCATTATGTGTTGGGAGTTGGGCAGAACTCTTCTAGATTTGGATAACCAAGGCATGCTAAAGAATTGAACCAATTATTCCCATAATTCAAGATGCAGGATGAGATGAGAGTGTCAACCCAGACTACTTTGTCTTAATCAAATGATCCTGAAAGAAGTATCTCAGAAAAACGGCTATGTGGGAATCTTCCCCTTCCCCTCATTGCACAGATCACTGGTCTAGGGATCTGCTCGGATGCTTTCCTTAAATTCTGTCAGGCACCCTC